TGTAGACGGGGTCTGGATTGGAGATTGGATTTATTGAACACTATAACACACGACTACCGGTAATTAGAGCGCCATCGCTGCTTGACACAATGTACAAATTACTACAGCACAGACTAAGTCTTTTCAGTCTGCTGTGTCCTCAGCAGTCATTCCCTGGCAACGGCTACTGAAAGTTAGGAATCTTCAACTGCACAGACCAGGTCTTCCCTTCACAGGCTCCCTTACAAATGACTTACAAGTTACTTTGTTGCAACTGACTAACTTCTAAAATTGCCTCGTTTATAATATCTCGTGACGGACGGAGTAGAAAACGTCTATTATTTTTGTATTCCAGTCGTTTCCTTTGGAAAGTGTTTATACGCGATGGCGTTCCTCAGTAACGGCTTCGTATAAGATTCTGTTGCCTAGCAGCGGATGTTTCGTTTCTTGTTTCGAGGTCGTTGCCAAGCAACGGGTCTACACTCTGCAGTATATTTAATTTATTAGGGCTATAAAGCACTGTGCCTTTATTTTGATGAGGTATATTGTTTTTACAAAGTAATATTTAGGTAAATATTTTTGCCCTTTAGATTTCGGGACAATATACCAAGGACGCATCCCAGTCCCTGGCCCTACAGCGCGTAAGTAGCCGCGTTACGTTGCGGAATGCCTCTTCAGGGCTGCACACCATAAATTCAATATGGACAGACAGGACTTCGGACCGAGTTCGTGTGGCGGGATGCCTATGCAATAGCCCCGAGTTGACCTACACGTCCTGCTCGGGAACGATTTATGACCTGAGTGCTTTAAGTACAACGTGTAGTATGTCGTTTGATTTTACTGCTTTTAACTTAGGTTTCCTTTTAAACGCATCCAATGTTTCTGTGGTTTCGTTCCCAAGAACCCCTTCTAGATAAATAGACGTCTTTTGCCAATTCTCGCCACGTCTGCTCGTCATCCAAAACCAATTGCACTTGAGCTTAGCAGCGACTCGTAATTCCTGTTATGTAAATCAGAGAGTGGGGAAATATACGAGTACTATAAATCCACGTGTTGAACGTTAATAAACCTGTCAAAGATACGCGAATCGGATCGTTCAGTGTCAGTCGGTACCTTCAAGCCCTGAAACGTGGAAACAAACTGAGGAGAACATTTGGACCAAAGAGGGAGGAATTAATGAGAGGCTTGAGGGGCTGCAGTGTGGACCGAAGAGGGATGAAGTGACAGGAGGAGGAGAAGGCTGAATAGTGAGAAGTCTTCTCCGAGTTCGGTTATAACGATCAGGGCAAGGAGAATATGATGAGCAGGGCATGTAGCGCGCATGAAGAGAAGAGGAATGCACATAGGATATTGGTGGGAAAGCCAGGCGGAAATAGATCACTAGAAAGATCTAGATATGAGTGGGACGATAATATTAACATGAATTTTATAGAGGAGTAGAATGGAGTAGTACAGGCTAACTTATTAGTTGAGCCCATCTTGAGAACCCGTCAGTTGTGCAGCTACTCAAGAACTTCCCAGCATTTTACGGAATCCGAAGGTTCATTAGTGTGTTCACAAGAGACCTCCACGTGTCCATATCCTGAGCCAGATCAATCCAATCCATACCCACCCCTTGTACATTCATATGTTCTCAAGGAGGCTGTTTGGAAAGAGATAGCAGCGGAAACTGAGCAAGGTGAGCCTAGTCCGGGAACTTTCCAATATATATGTGTATGACACATGAATGTTTTATGAATGTATGCAGCAATGCAATTGTTCATTTACTTAATGAAACATGAATACGTTTTGCTAAAAAAAATTCTCTCTCACTTCAGACTTCGTTTACTCCAAACACAGCCGTCATGTGACGCAAGACAAATACGTGTAGTTGCGAGACTTCCTCTGGGCCCTCTGTTCTGTTGCCGCTACGCGACGTAAATTTGAGTAGCGGCTACTGCTTTGATGACATGCACAAGTTTTGGAAGAAGCATGTACTTAGAAGGCCAAATGCGGCCGACTCATGTTCCGAAGCCAGCCGGATCAAATCCCATCCCATTCCTTCAACCGCCAGGAAGACTCGGCGGCACCGGTTCTTCATCTCTGTACACGTATTTCGACTGGGAAATGATACAGTGAGAGCTGACTGAGCGGAACATTTGTCTAGAGGCCCTCTCCATAGACACAGTTTCACACAAAGTGATCTTGTCAACAGCAGGGACGTCAATATAGCGCGTCGGTAAAGATGTCAGTACAAATGGTTGTATTCAAGGGAAACTGCAGGAATACTACAGTAAACCCTCGCTAATCCGTAGTAATTGTGGAGATCATCGGGATTAGTGAAGCAAAGAGCAGCTCTAAAAGAAAATGGAACTTAGAACACAAAAATATACGGAGACTTCAATGCTATAAACAGCGCTCCTGGAAAGGGCAGGCATAACATCACTGCAGAGCCTTTAGTTAGAAACTATAAAGAGACACTATTACTATTCATTGCTGTGCGTACGACTCGGAAGTCGGACTTGTTTCTGAACGTAATGATGCAGGTTTGAGAAAAGCGACTCGGCTGCCTTCCTAAGTGCCTCCAGCTCTGAACTCGGACCAGCTGTAACCGCACTCTCGTGTTTACTGTGCCTTACAATGAACTGAGGCTGATTCTTTCCAATTAATTGTTAGAAATCATCCTCTTATTCGTCGCCATAAATCCATGGAGTTGAGAACATATGCCCCCATGAAACTGAGCACTTCTACAGCAGCTGCCGATTATTGTAGCTACTGAAGAACTTCCCATCACTTTATGGGACCTGAAGGTTCATTATCGTGTTTACAAGAGCCCTCCACTGAACCATATCCTGAGCCAGATCAATCCAATCCATACCATCCCATCCTTTCTCTCTAAGATCCATTTTAATATTGTCCACCCACCGACGTCTTGGTCTTCCCAGTGGTCTCTTTCCTTCTGGCTTTCGCACCAATATCCTATATGCATTCCTCTTCTCCCCCATTCGTTTTAAATGTTTCTTCCCCTTAGGTCGTTCTTCCAAGAAGTCCGTCCAGGTCCAAAGCTACTTATCTTTCGTAGCAAGTTGTTGTTAGCCCTACGTCCGGCCCCACAGCTGAAGGACCACCCCTTGTCAGCTGCCCGCGACTGCTTATTCAATACATTCGCAGCTACCCTCCGTATCCGGAGGGACGTTCAAAAATATTCTTAACCAGACATAC